CCCTTTGTGTCTCTCTGGCAAGATGTTCTGCTCCTGAATCAGCTGGGTGGGTCTTGCCTCTAGCCTCTTTGCAGGGAGTTCTGCTGAAGGGTTCTGTTCTGGCTTGTGTTTTGGGTCTATTCCGGATTCGGAGGACCCCAGGTCATCTCACTCACTCGCCGGGCCTGCGCTCTGGGACTATTCAGGATTACGCGGCCCTCGGTCATCTCACGTGGAATTTGTTTTCATAGAGGACTTGGAGTACTCTGCTCCATGCTCTTCTTGCCTTCATGGTTTGTGAAGAGAAGTTTGCCATAATTTTCATGGGTTTTCCTTTGTGATCTGCTTCTTTTCTCTAGTGGCTTTAAGGATATTATTCTTGTGCTTGAATTCTTTTGTCTTGACTATTAAATGTCTTGGTGTGTTTTTAATTGAGTTGAAGTTATTTGGCATTTTGAATGCTTTGGTTACCTGAATGTCAGATTTTTTCCTTATATTTGGGAAATTTTCTGCTATTACTTCTGCCCATATTCTTTTTATATCATTTTTATTGACTCCTTCTTCCTCACTGATACCTATTAGTCTCACGTTGTTCATCTTTGCATTGTCTTGAAGGTGATGGATTAGTTTTTCCTGCATCCTAGTTGTTTTTAAGAGATCCTTTCTCATCTTTTCACTACCTGTACCAGCATCTACAAGATCTGAAACTCTGACGTTACTTTCACTAAAATGGCTTTCCAGGCTTGTAATTGAGATTTTTAAGTTCCTCTATATCTCTTTGACTCTGCTTCATGTGATCTATTTCTTTCCTGTATTGCTCATTCAAGGAATCCATCATATTTCTAATCTGCTTTATTTTTTAAGTCAATGTTTTTTTAGAGGCAGTTATTAGTTCTTTTATTGCAGATTTTTTTTTCAAATTGGGTTTCCTCCATATGTTTCCATATTTGATTCTTTACTGCAGATGGTATGAATTTAGAGATTTCTTTTTTAATTTCAGGAATTATCTCTGCTCTGAGTTCCTCTATACCTTTCTGCTGTTGTTTCTTTACTTGTGACACTATTAATTCATACCTTGCATCTGAGCTAATGTCCTCTGCACTTGTTCTGGGTGGGAATTGGGTTTCCCCCTTATTTTTCTGCATTTGATTCTTTCCTTCAGATGCACCAAATTCAGAGATTTCTTTTTTATTTCAGGAATTAATTCTGCTCTGAGTTCCACTATAACTTTCTGCTGTTGTTTCTTTACTTCTGACACTGTTATTTCATTCATTTCAGCTGAGCTAGTGTACTCTGAACATGTTATGGGTGGATTCGAGACCTGAGATTGCATTTTGCTCCTTCTCTTTGTCATTTCATATAGCACTGACCTCTGACCTTTGGTGTAGTGCTTTCTTGCAGTTATTACCTTAGTACCTACTGAAATTCGGTTGCAGATTTATTAAGTTTGCGTTTTTCCAGTTATGCCTGGCCTGTGTCTAGCTTTTGTGTTCAGCTCGTTCCTGCTGCAGCCCTCAGAAGTGAACCTGTGGTACCCCTCTGTTGTGCCTCTGACCCAAGGAGCACAGGGGAGCACAGAAGCTCTCTCACATATTACCCGCGTCTGGGCTGGGATGGTTCTGGGGGTCCAGGAGCATTGCAGAAATTCTCCCTCACTTGGTGGGCTTGGGGCAGGGGCGCTGGAGGTTTGCAGGGGTCCTAGTGGTGTGGAAGAGGGTCTCACTCACGTGAGTGCCTGAGTTTTGGTCTGGAGGTATCTAGCTGACTCAAGGAGGTTGGAAGCTCTCCTATGTGCTCTCTGTGCCTAGGCTGGGCTGGATCTGAGTGTCCCGAGAGTGTCGCAGAAGTTCTCACTCACTTGGTGGACTTCGGGGTTGGAGAGTTGTGATTATTTTAAAAGCCATTGTAGTGTCAAATTTTAGAAATTGCACTTTATGTTTTATATTTCAGGCATGATAACATAGGATAGATGCAGATAGTACAGTGGTTACTATCACGCAACATCTATCATTTAACATAATTATTGTGATGAAAACAGGTAAAATTGATAACTCTCAGTGAAAGCTTTACAATAGTTTTTTTAACGCTAACTTCATTTTGTTCAAGTCTCGAGACTTGTGTGCCCTATAAATCTCCTACTTTGTGTCTTCCAGCCTACATTTATCTGCTCATTTCCCCTATGAGGCTGGAAACCACTGCTTTGTTGTCTATTTCTACATAGTTGGAATTTTTCAGTGAAATAAGTTTAGCAACCAAATATATTTTCTTACATAGTCATCATGGTATATTCTTTATTCTAATTTTTATATCAATATCATTTCGTATCCCCTGGAAGTCTCTCCTCATTTTGGTCCCACATTTCAATTTCAAGAAGGAAATGAGTAGACTGGAAATTTACACTTGGGACTCAGGTCAACAATTTCTCACATTGCCAGTCAAGAGGAAGACCCAATACTATTATGGGCTACTGGACTCTTTTAGAATATTTTGCTGAGTTTACACACCTATAATATTCAAATAACAGAACTTAACAAAAAAAGGGTATACAGATGAATGTCCATTTTGTATCTGTGTATTCAAAGTGGTTAGGATAGATATATAGTTGCATCTCTTAATGAATAGAGTGATTTGTTCTAATGGTGTTTGTAAATAGGATATCAAGTCCGCATCCTGTACAGCAATTAACCACTAAGAAGAATGTATGCAGTGTTTTAATTATTGAAACTGTCCTAGCAATATGATTTGAAACTGTCTCATTGCTATTTGTTTATCAATAAAATTATGGGGAAAAAAGAAAAGAAAAAAAAAGAAATTTACACTTGACCATTTTCACAAAAATGAATTGAACGATCCATTAAAAATGATATGGTATTTTTAAAAGATGATAGGACATTAACAATTGTTAATATGTTGTTAATTTTTACCTTTAAAGCATTTGCTCAGATTACCAGATATAGGCGTATAAAATTGATCAGATAATATAAGCACTAACTGCTCTTTTCAATGAACTAATAAAGCTAATAGTACAATTATCTTAAATATCTTCTATGTGTATATATAAATATATTATTTCCTTTTCTTTTGTCTTTTTCTCCATCTCAGTTCTTTCACTTTCAGCAGGTTCCTTCCATTTCAAAATATCTATTGTATTACCTATTCTTTCAATTTCTTACACTGGGGAGAAAATACCATGCTTACACATACATTATTTATTTTACTAATGCGTATGGTTTCTAATCACATTTCTTCACCTATAAAAATCTCAGTTAGTAATAGTTCAATCTTGGAAACAAGCCAAGTGTCCATCAACTGAGGAATGGATAAAAAAGCTGTGACATTTTTATATAATGGAATATTACTTAGCTTTATCTGAACTTTTATATATTCAGTAAATATCAAATAAACTATTCTTTTATAATCAGGGCCATATTTAGTTTTGTGAAGATGAATCAAAAGCTTTTCCCCACTGAAATAAATTATATATATCTGAGGATATATGAAATCATATATATTGCCCATTATCTCATTTATCTGTTTATTTAACACTGGTAACCAAACAGAGCTTCATGCTTACTAGGCAAGCATTGTGCCACTGGGCTATACTCCCAGCATTTGGTTCTAACACTGGTGACAGTTTGATGTACAAAAAAACATTAAACGTTTATATTAAAGGTATTCTGTAAGTGTAGAATGCTGCAAAGATACAATTTCCATGAAAAAATCCCTCTGATCTCCCTGTCTCAAGACTATCTCGTTGTTCTCCATTTTCCCATTCCTTAGATGAGAATCCCAAATCAGAAGTAGTCAATCTTCCCAGGGAGTGCATCAGGAATTTCTTCCCAGAGCGCAACTGCTTTGTCCTTGATCGGCCAACAGATGACAAACATCGCCTACTCCATATTGAGAACATCTCAGAAGATGAACTGGATCCTGATTTTGAAGAGCAAACATGTAGTTTCTGTTCTTATATCTTCACTAATGCAAAGATCAAGACCCTCAAAGAAGGAATTGTGATCACTGGAAATCGTGAGTCTTATTGACATATGTCTGGATCAATTAATTTATGTTGAATATATTATAAAATTACCATACATTATTTTTAACTATGCTGCCATGATATTCACATATTTATATTCTATAAAGAGGTGGATATAATGTATAATTATCACATTCAATGAGGTTACAATTTCCATCCTCTTCCAAATTGTATACTTTTATACAAGTATGTGATTTGGAAAAAATCTTCCATTTGTGAACCAGAGAGATAGCTCAGTGAACTAAGGGCCTGCTTAGGCAAGCGCAGGGACTGGTGTTCAATCTCTGGCACCACATGCTTTTCTGAGTCTGCCTTCAGCCATGCTGAGCCAGCCACGAAGTCCAGTGAACTGGCACACACCTATAATCCCAGGCTGAAGGCTGAAAACAGCAGGATCACTATGAGTCCCAGCTGCACTGTGACACCCTGTACAGAAAAAAAACCTTCCATTTGTAATGAAATTACTATGTGAAAATAGATATAGACTATTTGCTCAGAGATAGCCCTGCATGGGACTGTTTCTTTGCAATGAGAACAAGGAAACTTTCTGTAAGTTTCAAGCACTCTAAATATAAATTGTATTCCCTAAGATCCTGAAGATCCATTGGAAGCTTCAGAATTAGAGCAAATATACTCTGAGATTATTTAACTAATTGAACTATGATCTCTTTCTCTTTTTTTTTTTTTTTTTTTTTTTGAGAAGTGGCTTCCTTCTGTGAGATTTCTGTCTTCTCTCTTTCTTTCTTCCTTTCTTTCTTTCATTCTTTCTTTCTTTTTTCTTTCTTCCTTCCTTTCTTTGTTCTTTCTTTATCTCCCACTCTCTTTCTTTCTTCTTTCTCTCTTTCTTTCAGTAATTAAATTTTCTGGTACATTTTAGGTATACCTAATCATCACATTCATTGTAGGAAATATGTACCAGTATATGATACATCATGATCTTTTTTTCCTATTCTCCATCTGCACTGAATGAGTCCATGTTCCTCTATTAACAAAGCTTTTGTTTCCATGATTTCCTTCACTTCTCCTTTATCTATAAAGTTATAATTTAGAAATTTTGTTTTCCATGCACAATTTAATATATTAAGTGAAGCTAGATATTAACTAGTTTTTAAAAGCTTTTATACAGGGCTGGTGCTGTAGCTCAGCGTTTTATGTGACTTCCAGGCAAGTACAAGGTCCTGAGTTTGATTCCTGGTTAAAAAAAGATAAGCCTAAAAGCCTTGAAGCAGAAATCAATGGAAATGAGAGACTAAGAGGAGAAAAGATGAGAATAAGACATAGTTGTGCACGTGGGAAAGAGACAGAGACAGAGATATGTGATTTTAGGAAGGTAGTCCAATATTCTTAGAACCTACTGTACTTTCATGTTCTTATTTATCACCTAAAAATTCCGGGTCATTCAGGGCTGGGGTCTCTGGTGGAGACCTACGTGAAGGCCATCAACAGTGGGGCGGTGCCCTGTGTGGAGAATGCGTTGACCACGCTGGCCCAGTTTGAGAATGCAGCGGCCGTGCAGAAGGCAGCTGCCCACTACAGCGAGCAGATGGCCCAGCGAGTGCGGCTCCCCACAGACACGCTCCAGGAGCTGCTGGACGTACACGCGGCCTGCGAGAAGGAGGCCATCGAGGTCTTCATGGAGTGCTCCTTCAAGGATGAAAATCAGGAATTCCAGAAGCAGCTGGTGGTACTGTTTCTTATTCAATATTTATCATCTTTCTTGATTAATAAAGCCTAGAGGTGACTGTATTATGCTTGTGGGTTATTTCAAATTCCAAGGTAAACATTTTGAATTCTGAGAATGGAGTTTCTAAAACTATATGTCAGTGCTTAAAAGAAAAATATTATAATCATCATCATCATCATAATAATAGTAACAATAAATCAACGCTTTATGCAGGATCTCTGTGTAAATGACACATAACCATAATAAATGCCCTCTTTAATACTTCAGTGGGTTCTGTTATAATTTCCATTAATTGCTTGCCTGTCCAGAACATGCTACTCATCCCTTGTGGTTGGCTTTTTCGATGTGCCATGTCCCGTTGTTGGAAACTTAGTTTCTCTTACAAGGTTATCCTTCCAGGGCATTGCTCATTGCTATGCATTATGGCACTAAGATACAACCAGAGGGGATCTAGCCGTAAGAAGCCATAGACATGGTGAAATTCAGCTCCTTCTTTTCAAGGACAAGCATCTCGGTGTCCTGAAAATTTCAGAGTTTCCTATTGTCTGTCAGAAGTTTTCAGTGATTTCAATAAGTCAAATTGTATGATTTCTCATTCATCATACATTTTACTAAGCTAGAATAATTTTGACATTAAAAAAAGAGGTTGATATTTTTACTAGGTTCTCTGGGATGTTCTTTCCTTTCCCAGGCAGGTTGCATATCTGCACTTTTTCCTTGCAGAAAATAATTTTGGATGAAAAGAAGGATTTCTTGTCAAAGAATGAAGAGGAATCTGATCAATACTGCCAGAAAGAACTGAGTCAACTTTCAAAACCATTAATGGAAAGCACTTTAGCAGGAACATTCTGGGTTCCTGGAGGGCACCAACTATACATGGATACACGAAAACAGATTGAAGAGGACTATAGGAAGGTGCCTAGGAAAGGAGTCAAGGTGAGGCCAGCGGGAACTGGGGAAGTCTAGAGAATAATGTCAATGGCTCTCACGAGCCAGTTGTGAGTAATAAAGAAATAGGAGAATAGCACAAAATGTTCACAAGCCTCCCCAGGGTAGGAGATCTGAACCAGGCCTCCTGCATGCAAGGACTGTACTACATCTGTGGATGACACCCAGAAGCCCACTTGTCACTATAATGCTTTGCTGACTGTATATCTCTGAGAATAAAAAGTTCATTCCTAAAGAAACTGTAAGTAGTTCAGGAATCCAAGAGGAAGAAAGAAAAAAATCAGTCATTTCATCCGCCAAGAAGATGATTTTCAATGTGCTTAGTGCTCTTAGTGCCAGATATTTTCATGGATCAGTTAGATGTTTTCCTCTGCAGCCTGATCAAAATAAGAGAGACAAGATCAACTAAGTAGAGATGTGCTTATTCTGTGGTATAACTTATGAAACAGTGAAAAGGGAGATATAGGTGGGGGTAGCAGACCTCATAGTCCACTACTACCATGTATTAAATTGATATTGGTGATAAATTTAGTGAGAAATTCTTTCTCAAGTGTTTTTTTTTTATTTTTTAAAGAAAGAACAAATTAGAATTAAAACAGAAAGAGTATAAGTGATACAGATTTTCACTTAACAAAGTAATATAAATTTCACAGTATTTGTTGACTTCAATCTCCAAATAGCTGTAAGTAGTATATATTTGTACAGTGGATCCTTGATACTACTGAACTGGAAGGCCTAGCAGATTAAAGCTACACAGTACTGAGCCTGAATTTCTTGTTGAAAGACAAATGTATGAATGTGTCAGAGATTGTGGATTTTGTAAATGCTCTTGAATCTGACTGGCTGGAAGCTAGAGCAGGTGCAGCACGGAGACCAGGGAGATGGCTCAGGGGAAGGAAATGAGATACCACATAGGCTTGCAGAGTCTCTGGTTACACTGAGAAGCTTGATATGTTTATAGAGAGCCACTAAAAATGTAATCATGATGCAACATGGTATACATATATTCACTTTGTGTAAATATTCTCTCTATGGAAAGTGTTTAATTCCTTCTTGTCTCCACAGGCAGGAGAGGTCTTCCAAAAGTTTTTGCAGTCCCAGGCAACAATAGAAGAATCCATCCTGCAGTCAGATAAAGCTCTTACTGATGGCGAAAAGGCCATAGCAGGTATGTGAAGCAGATGAGCTCCGAGGAATGAGTAGATTCTTATAGTGACTCTGAGTGATCCCACAAGTTGTTCTATGAAGTTGTAGCATCCTCTCTCTGAGAAGCGCATGCTCTGATGAAAGGGAGAAGAACATGATGGAATTTAGGGTGCTTTAGCTACAGAGACAAGGCCTTTCTCATCACCTTCTAAACTGCACTGTAAAGAGCCAGCCAAATAGCTCAGTGGATTACAACACCTGCAAGCAGGCACAGGGGCCACAGGTTCAATCCCCAGGCCTCTCATGCTGCACCCGCCTTCGGGGCACATTGAGATGGCAATTGAGATTGGGGGTAGTGGTGCACCCCTGTAATTCCAGCTCTTGGTAGGCTGTAAATAAGTGGATCACTATGATTCGGAACTAGTAATGAGACCCTGAACAATCCTATAGACCCTTCCCGAAAATACAAAATAAATAAATAAGTAAATAGGAAAAAAAAAAAAAACAACACCCAACTATGCTGCTTTGGATGGTGTGGGCTTGCAAGAATTCTGTGATTTCTTTTCAGATTTGATCTTATGTCTGAGCTCAGGAGGGCAGAAATTAGCTTTCAATTTTGTGTTTTTTCCCTTCTCTGAACCTTACCTGGAGCAGCTGAGATGGCCAAGGAAGAGGCAGCTGAGAGGAAACAAGAAATTTTAAACCAGGAAAAACAGGAGGAAGAGCAGAAGAAGGCAGCTCAAGAGAGGTCTCTGAAGGAAAATGTGGTACAGTTGGCAAAGAAGCTGAAGGTGGAGAAAGAGAACATCCTGGGAGATCAGAAAAAAATTTTGCACCAAAGACTGCAGGTGGGTGTGGCCCTTCTCAGTAACTCTGAGGGCATTTGTGCATTAGCAGGATGCGGAATGTTGTGGCCAGATCATGGAAAGGGGCACCAGAGCCATTTGGTGCTGGAAATTCATCCAGGGTGGAATCCCTTCGTTTGTTTGTTTGAATCCTGCTTTGGATTCTCTCCTTTTTTTATTCGCATATTTGGTATGGGGCCTCACTATGCAGCTTAGACTTGTAGTGATCCTCCTATTTCAGCCTAGCTAGTGCTGGGATTTCAGGTGCAAACCAGCATGCCTGGATTCAGTGGCCAGAACACTGTGTCCAGAGTGGTGACAGCATGGCATGTGGTGCTGGAATTGAGCCTAGGTCCTTGCACTTGCCAGGCAGCAGCTTAGACCACTGAGCTATCTCTGCAGCCTCTTGCTCCATTTTATACTCTGAAAATTCAGCTTATCTTAACTCCTATTTTTCCTTGGAGATTATGAAAAGCATTTGTGTTTGGAAAGTTAATAAAATGATCTCACATGGGATTAATTAAGCAGGACCTGAGTACACAGAATTTTGAGATATTTAGTTAGTGTCAGTCCCAACTGTTTTCCATTAACAATGCCCATAATATCAGAAGTCTTATAGTCTCCAAAGACCCTGAACTAGATCCATTTTGACATAAAAGTATCAGAAATGTCATACTTAAAAGCTCATGAAGTGATAACCTATACAAAACTACTGTAGTTGTCTCCAGGTAGCCTCGTGAGTTTCCAGTAGGTGGGATAAAATCTCCAACATTTCCTAGTGGACAGGCTCCAAGGCTGACACAGCACGGGACAGGGCCTTGGCAAAGGAAACAGTACCCAAACTGTGTTAGGAAGCAGACATGACGACATGAACTGAGGACAAGAATAGTCTCCTCCTGGTTATACCCCAGCGACCCACCTCCTCCCAGGCCCCATAGACTAACAGCAGCAATCTGCCCACGGAGATAATAAATTGTAAATGCCCTGGAGAGCACAGCGCTCTGATGATCCAGTCTAATTCCAAACACATGAGTATTTGGGAAGAGTTTTCAGATCTAAACCATAGCTCCACATGTGGACAGCCAGCCTGAGTTAGCATATGGCATCAAAGCAACTCTGCTCTTACCATCTTGGCATTGCACAATACATTTTAGATGAGTTCTAATGCTCACCATGATGTGGTGATCATACTGTCCAAGAGAAATGGAGATTCTGTGTCACAGAACAATAGAATATTTTGACAAGTATGTAAAGATTTTTTTCTCATACCTCAGCACAGGAGAAATGAATAGTAAATAAATAATAATAAGGAAAATCTATGCTTCTTCTTCACCAAATCTTGTCCCATTCAGATAATATTGTTTATCGAATTTTTTTCACATGTGAGTGCAGAAATACTTTAGGTGAATTTAAATGCAGTTTTCTAAGTTTTATTTAAAGTGTAATTCTTAAAATATAAGTATTGTAAAAATGTTTTTGCTTATCAAATTTTATCCATTTATTTTAGTTGCAAAGAGATTTTCATGAAGAAGGACTCATGGGGAAATCAGAGGCAATGCATGAGGAGATAAATAACTTGAAGAAAATGATTGAAACTATGGAAAAGGATGATGATCTGTTTGAGCAATCCTTGACTGATCTTGGAAATGCAATAGTTTCACTAGTGTGTGCTCCTGCTGTGTTAGTTGCAGTAACTGTAAAAAGAGTCTGTTCATTGTTTACATAAATTAGGAGTAATTTTAAGGAAATGAAAGATTTTGAGTGTATACTCTGGTTTATTTTTGGTGCACATGATGTTTATTTGCATTTAGCAAGTTTTAAACAAACTGTTCTAATAGGAAGCTGTTAGTGTCTGGCCCACATTGAATAGAACAAATGCATGCACCTATTGAAAGACATTGTAATCTTTTGCAAACCAAGTGCTTTCAATAATACACACACACACACACACACACACACACACACACATGAGGTCCATTGGCTTTTTCTTTCAGTGGGAAAAATTGAAGCTTGAACATAATATAAGATTCAAAATGTAAATTTCAGTAAGGTACATATTGGAATGCAGGTTATAAAAACACAAGGGAAGTCTATTAAGCCAAATATAAAATTGTGTTGGTATACTGCAAAAATAAAATAAAAAATAACACACACACACACACACACACACACACATATATATATATATATATATATATATGAGATTACTAGTACATTGTTATATGTAAGCATATATATGTAAACACAAAATCATTCAAAAATTCCTAATAAAAAACTACTATGCTTGTGTCTTTCTGGGGAGAATAGCTAGAAACTAGCAGTAAAGAATCAATTATTTTACTATGTACTCTATTTTTTTTATGTATGTACTCTATTTTGAAATTTCATAAAATTACTTTTATTACCATGTTTGTAAACAAAGAATAAGATTTATATTGTAATACTAGGAATAGTAGTCATGAAAATGAAATTTGCTGTGATGCTGGATTTTCTCGCTGTTTGAAGAAAGGGTGTCAGTCAGCTCAATGAGGAATCTAAGCCTAGACTTGAGTCAGAGAAAACATAAATTTTACTTCATAATCCTGTTTTGATTTTGGGTTTGTTTTAAACTTTTAAAATTGCTTAAAATGAGGTATGAATACAAGCTCTGCTTCCTGCTGCTAAATAACATTTAAACTCTTAGAAACAAAATTAAAATACATTAAGAACACGCTTTGGTATGGGTTTGAAATATAGCTCAGGGGCTGGCAAGCACAAAGACCCGAGTTTAATCCCTTGCCCCACATGCTGTGCTGGCCCTGGAACAGATGTGGTGGCTCACATTTGTAATCTCAGTTATTAGGAGGTTGAGACAGGATGATCACTGTGAGTTGAGAGCAGCTTAGGGGCTACAAAAGTGAGTACAGCCCAAATTGCATCATGAGAACCTATCTCAAAAAAAAAAAAAAAAAAAAAAAAAAAAAAAAAAAAAAAGCAGATGCCCAGGTCACTAGATCCAGATATTCTTCACTTGAGTATCATCCTGAAAGTCAAAGACATCAGATTACAATGATGCATGCATGTCCATGTTTATAGTAGCAGACTTCATAATTGCTAAATCTTTGAAGTAGTCTATATCTCCATTCAGCAGATTAAAGGATAAAGAAAATTTGCTATTTACACATAATAGAGTAGAACACTATCAAAAACAAGGATAAGCTGTCTACAGGAAAATGGATGCATCTTGAGACCATAATGTCAAGTGAGATGAACTAGACATGCTGGACCAAACATCACCTCATTTTTCTTATAAGACAAACCCAAAACATAAATAAGGAGCAAAGTAAATGATAACAGAAAACAGGAAATTAGATTTTATTTAAATGGAAGGAAATCAAGAGATACAGTGGAAAATTAGAAGCCAAAGTGGAAGGAGAGGAAAAACTATAGAAGATGTGTGACTGTGCATTCAAATAGAAAAAAGGCTGTTGCAAACACAATAAACCCCTGTCACAACTCACTATTGCTCCATCTTATTCAGTGTATAACACTACTACTGGTGCAAGAAAAAAGCTACTCAACCAAAAAAATATGATGTAGAGAGACTTTTAGAGTAATTTTCTTTTTTGTTGTTGATTTTTGTTTGGTTTTATTTTTCTCTTTACTGTATATTAATGTTTTGTATTATTTTAAGTCTATTTAATTTTATTTATTCTTTAGTTTTCTTTTTAAAATAACACCTCTGTTTCTCCTCCCTTCCTATTCTTTTCTTTTGTTTCTCATTCCATTTATTCTTTTCTTTCAATATTTCACTATTATTATTACTAACATTTATTTTTAGCCATTTAGTTTATAGTGTTATTAGATACTCCATTTCTTTTGCTAATGGTGGCCTCATTGTTGCTTTTAGTTGCTTTGTGCATCATGTTGGTCTTTGTGTCATTGACATAGCCACAGTGCTTTTCCTCTTTCAAAGATACTGAGGATTGGGGACCCGAACTTGAGTCCTAGTCTCTCTTTTCTTCGGGGGCAGCATGAGTGTCACCACCCACTCCACCACCTTCTCCACCAACTCCCAGTCCCTGGGCTCAGTCCGGGTGCCCAGCCAATGGGTCAGGTGGGCCAGCAGAGCTCCCAGAGTCTATGCTGGCGAGGGAGGCTCAGGATCCTGGATCTCCATGTCTCGCTGCACCATCCTCCGGGGTGACACGGAGTCTGCGGGTCTGGCCACGGGAGTGGCCGGGGGTCTGACCAACATGGGCAGCATCCAGACTGAGAAAGAGACAATGGAGGACCTGAATGACAACCTGGCCTCCAACCTGAAGAGAGTGAGGAGTCTGGAGATGGAAAATCGGAAGCTGGAAAGCCAGATGCAGGAGCACCTGGAGCAGAAGGGGTACCAGGTCAGAGACTAGGGCCATTACTTCAAGAACATGGAGAAGCTGAAGGCTCAGATCTTTGTGAATTCTGTGGACAACACCCACGTTGTCCTCAGACTGACAAAGCTATCGGTGCTGATGACTTTAGAGTCAAGTATGAGACAGAGCTGGCGATGCATCAGTCTGTGGAGAATAACATCTATGGGCTTCGCAAGGTCATCAATGACACCAAAATCATTCAGCTGCAGCTGGAGACAGAAATCGAGATTCTGAAGGAGGAGCTGATATTCATGAAGAGAAACTATGAGCAAAGTAACAAAATAAATGTCACAGGACTGTCCTGCTACAAGGCTGTGTATGGTTAGATTTCTAAATTTCTGTGTAAAAATATGTAAGTGCTTATTCTTTATTTTTAAAATTTTTATCTTTTTAATCTTTTTTCTTCATATTCTGGATGGACTCAAAGTTTAGCATATCAATACTTGATGGGAAATACCTGTTCTATTTTATGTCTAAGATGTTTGATATCCAGACAGTGAGGTTAAGCTCAACTGCCCATGTTATACAGTAATAATAATAAGCCTCTCTTCTGGAGTGTGAACAACCTAAATTTACAGACCAAAAATTAGAGTAAAAGAAGGGTTGCAAGGACAGCAAACATTTTGGCCTTAGCCTTTCAAGGTCAGTGAAGACTCAAGGCATAGGAGAACCTGTAGAGTAACATCATACAACTCAGTTGTGTCCCAAATTTTCTGATCAAGGAGATAATAGGACCACAGAGGAAAATGAATGATGATGCAGATTGTGTGTAAGGCGAGTCCCATGGAGAGAAAACATTCTCTCAGGCTTTCACAGAGAGCAAATTGCTCAACAATGACCGTGACTCATCCACATGGCTAACACTAACAAAGGATCTACAAACTGCGGTACAGGGTTTCAGGTTAAACCCTGAGGGGATTTGACTAATCTTATCAGATACAAAAGTTACATTTCTTGTTATATGGGTCTTGTTTTATCTCAGTCTTAAACATCCAGCAGAAAAGTATGAAAACAAATTATAAAAAAGTAAAGTCATATTAATACGCTGAGCTGTAAGAGGCTGAAGTCAACAACTTCAGACACTGCCAGACTTACAGAATACCCACTACTATTATTGAGACATTTTGCTGAATTCACACATCTACAGTATTTAAATGACAAAGGAATGCTCTTCTCTGACAAAACTAACCAAAAAAGTGGGATATAAATGAATGACCATTTTGTATCAGTATACTCAAAATAGGAGAAATATACAGCTCCATTCTCTTAATTCTATGAATAGAGCAGTTTGTTCTAATAGTGTTTAAGACAGGATATCATGTCTGCATCCTGTACAATGAATAACCACTAAGACAACAATATGCAATGCATTAGTTTTTGAAAATGTGTTAGTAATCAGTTGTGAAACTGTCTCATTGCTATTTGTTTCTCAGTAAAATTATTCAAAAAATAAAAGATAAAATAAAATAATATTACTACTGGTAAAAAAGAAAGAAAGAACCATGATGAGGAAGTCAGCATCCTTCAAGCCGATTGCCAGCTCTGGGTTGACTGTGGAGGTGGATGCACCCAAATCTCAGGACCTCAGCAAGATCATGGCAGACATCAGAGCTCAATATAATGTGCTGGCTCAGAAGAACTTAGATCTGGACAAGGACTGGTTCCAGCAGATTGAGGAGAGCACCACAATAATCACCTCTCAGTCTTCTGAGGTTGGAGCTTCTGAGATGACACTCACAAAGCTGAAGTACAGCTTCAGTACTTTGATACTGACCTGGAATCCATGAGGAATCTGGATTGGCCTGGAGAACAGCCTGAGAGACCTTGAGGCCTGCTACACTATGCAGATGGAGCAATTCAGTGGGGTTCTGCTGTACCTAGAGTCAGAGCTGGCACAGACTCGAACAATGGGACAGCACTAAGCCCAAGAGTATGAGCCCCTGCTGAACATCAAGGTCAAGCTGGAGGTTGAGATCGCATGTACTGCTGCCTGCTGGAAGATGGGGAGGATTTCAATCTCAGCCTTGCCCTGGACAGCAGCAGCACCTCTGTGCAAACCACCAAGAGGACCATCGCCCACAAAATTGTGGATGGAAAATTAGTGTCTGAGACCAATGACACCAAAGTTTTGAGACACTGAAGCAACAGAAGTGAGGTGCCCTTGGGAAGGAGCTGGCAAATAAAAATTCAGAGGTCACTGGAGAAAAAAAAATACTAAGAATTAAGCTGTCACAGAAATCTTGGTATTAACAAGACCTTCAAATAAAAATGGAAACCTTATCCATCACAACAGACCTAAAAAGCTCCATATAGAAACACAATAAGTATAAATAAGCAATACAACATGAATCCTCCAAATGTCTTTAACCCCTGAGTAACTAAAGTCAAAGCTATTGAAGGGCATGCCATGTGAGATAAGAATTAAATGAAACTGATTGACAAAATAGTTAATCCTCCCAACCCCCAGATACCCACTAGAGTTCCTCTGAACCCCAGCTGTCTTTCCTTCCCCTGTAGACTTCCAAGGAGATTTGGGAGACTGCTGAGGGGAATCTGAAACCAGATGTCTAGAAGACTTCCACAGGGACCTTTGCAGAGCCCTAACATATGCCAGCCCTCCACTGAGAGAGGCATGCCGAACTTCAGGCTTCACTCATCATCGTTGGATCCATCTTCAACTTCAGCTTTCCCGCCTCTGCTCAACAAGGTGAGAAACAGCGGAAGGCATAAGGAAAAAATAGATAGGAAGACAAGAGCTGTCTTAGATGGTGACTCACCT